TGATTGCTTCGCATATTTTAAAAAATTAACTTTGACATCTCTCCTACCTAATTGGTTAGAGCATCAATGTTTCGCCTCTCATTTCAGTTTCAGTTTTGATATTTAACTTTTACGTTGTCTTAGGGGCCACATTCTTTTTTTTTTGCCTAGACCAACTTTAATTAATTTCAACCCTTTTTTTCCTCTTCTGCTCTTTTTTTATGCTTTTAGTGGTGTCCGAGCTGTGGGGAGAGCAGTGTGTACGCCTAAAGGTGACCACAAAAACCGACAATTGTGGCGAGAATGCCGATTGCTCCGGCAAGGGCGTCTGCTATTCGAACGGCGTGATGGAGGAGTATGAGTGCCAGTGCTGCGGCGGTTTTGCGGGTCCACATTGTGAGGAAATTGATGCCTGTAACCCCAGTCCGTGCACCAACAATGGCATCTGTGTGGACCTCTCGCAGGGCCATGAGGGCAACTCGTATCAGTGCCTGTGCCCGTACGGTAAGCTCATCAACAATAGCGAATTACCACCTAGCATTAGCAGCGATGTACGCTAATCTTGCCGATATTACATCTTTTGTCTCCGTTCCAGGCTATGCGGGCAAGAACTGTCAATATGAGTCGGACCTGTGCAATCCAGCTGAGTGCATGAATGGCGGCAGCTGCCTGGGCAACTCAACGCACTTTCGGTAAGTGAAGCCAATTCCCTGCTAGGCCTCCTGCTGCGTAGGCAACTCCAGGAGCCCAAATGTTGACTATTTGAAATTCGATCTACAAAGCAGTCAAGGCAATTTTATCAAAGGTGCTCAACTCTGAAAATGTATTTAAATATAGTATATAATAGAAATTCATTTTAGTCATAGTATCTAGTTACTATGTGCCAGCTTTCATGTTAGTTTCATTTTAATGGAAACGGACAGCAGAGATAATTATGGATAAAAGATAAATTATATATATAAAAATAAAATAAAAATGCAATTTAAAATATTGTCCGTTGGAATACATATCTGACTTATGCTGGGACTTGGCCATAATTTTCTAAGCATTTTCCGCCGTTCACTGCCTGACTTTCAATTTTGCTTATATTCCACACAAATTAAAGTAAATTAAATTAAGCATTATATAAAATATCGTTAAGCACAAATTTAAATGATTGCGATTTAGAGTTGTCGAGGAACCATTTTCTAGCTATCAACAAATGAATGACAGCATTTGAGTCATAAATGTATTTATTATTTCCAAATATATATGTTAATAAATTTTATAAACATTTAAAATTTTTATACATTTTATAAACATTTATAGCTTGTATAAATTTTATAAATATTTATAATTTGTATAAATTTAATTAATAATTTTTATAAAGCTTTTAACCATTTTCAATTGCTTAAGAAGAATTTCGTTTATCTATAAATTTAATTAATAATTTGTATAAAGTTTTTAACCATTTTCAATTGCTTAAAAAGAATTGTGTTTATCTATTTTTAACGGCAGCAATTTATGATTTTATTTTATTTATTTAATAATCCGAGTTCCTTGCCCTTCAGCCTTTCCAAACAGAGCTGCATATACTTATATTTACTCAGAGCTATACAGATGTAATGTTTATTTAACTGAAAATTCACTAGATTTACCTTAACCGAACTCCCATTTATCACTAGAAACCCTGCTTCTTATATTTTTCTCAAGGATGTACAAAATATAATATAAATTCTGTACAAGTTTTCCCACACAAACGCTTTAGCAGCATCTAAGTGCGCGGTTTCAACAACAACAACATCACGAAAAACAACAACAACAAGAGTAGGAGCTAAAACGCAACTGCTTTAAAAATTCTTAAGCTCCTGTGGCTGAGGTGTGGGTGGTTTTGGTGGTGCTGGCGGTTTACCAATTAGTGGGAAATAAACATTTTTACAACAAGAATGCGTTGTCAAGGCGAAAATGCACGACTCTCAGATAATCTGATGCTCGCCTTAACTGCTGTTTAAAACATTCCCGCTTACTTTTATACCAAACACTTTTAGACATAAACAGAATCGCAATCAGCGTTTGACTACGTTTTTCCACTGAATAATTTCTGTGCCATTTGCTGTCTAATCTTAGGGAAAAGACTGGGTTTATATACTAGAAAAAAGCTGCTATAGAGCAGTGCTCTGCTAAAGAAAACAAATTTGAAAATGAATATTTAAATTTATTTTTATATTAATATAATGAGGGATAATAATATAATATTCCAATATTTTATTATATTGGAATATTTGTTTATTATATTGGAATATTATTTAGTTATTCCTCTTTATATTAATATAAAGACATTTTTTTTTCACTATCATTTTCATATTTATTATCTTAAAATCCAGAAATACATATTTTCATACAATGATAAATATTTAATTATATATTAACATATATGTATGTACATATATTGACCTAAACTAAATATTTAGATATACACTCCTTAGTTTATATACCTTCAGGTGTTTTCAGCAGCATCTTTATTTATATAATAATTGTTAATAATTTATATATTTTGATAACATTTTCAGCTGCGATTGTGCACCTGGCTACACGGGTCCGCTCTGCCAGCACAGCCTAAACGAATGCGAGTCCTCGCCCTGTCTGCATGGCATTTGTGTGGATCAGGAAGACGGCTTTCGCTGCTTCTGCCAGCCAGGTAAGAATTCCTATTATTGAAATTGTTAAATGACAATGTTTCGTTATGAACTCCGGACATATCAAGTAATTCAAGCCAAGCTTGGCCTGTTCCCATACGAAACTATACAGCTTCTCAGCCCTCAGCTGATGTGCATTTGCCTGTAGAGTAATCGAATCAATAATGAGTCAAATTGAATTATTTACAACATGTATTGAGCATTAGCCATGGAAATAGTTGGATGTTTGTTAAGGTTGCCAAGGGCAATGCAACGAGTATTGAGCTGCATGCGGCTGACAGATGCGAGCAAGCATAAAGAGTTGAGGCTGAGCTGATGCCTGACAATATTTGCATTGAATTACAAAGCATTCAAAAGCCCTGTACGCTGCCTTAGACCTATTAGACTTGGCTTGCAATTGAATTTATAGAAAATATTTCCTTATTGAAAAGTAATTCTTGTGAGCAGACAGTTTGACAATCCTGAAAATGTTATTTACTGTGCAAATTCTATTGCCTAACAATTCTGTTTGTAAGCGTTACGAGCAGTAAAGAAAATGCATTCATTTTTATGGGCCCAGCCAATTTGAGTGCGCGTTGAAAGTTTGCTATGAAATGTGGCAATAAAATATGCACTAAAGCTTATAAATTATTTCATTGGCAACAAACACAATTTGCACAAATCAAACTCGACAACAATGAAGGGAGAAAAGGAAGAAGAAGAAGCGTTGAGAAAGAGGAGTCAAGGCAGCACTGGGAATCAGGTCTCCAAAGTTGGCAACATCCATTTCGTTTGAAATTTCCATTTCATTTATTTTGCACATTAGCATTACATCTGACTCATTCACACAATCTCTCTCTCTCTCTCTCTCACTCTCTCTTTATCACTATCTGTATCTCTATCTTTCTTTTTCTATGTCACTCTCTTGGCAGGCTTTGCGGGCGAGCTGTGCAACTTTGAATATAATGAATGCGAATCGAATCCATGTCAGAATAGCGGCGAATGTATCGATCACATTGGCAGCTATGAGTGCCGCTGCACAAAAGGTTACACGGGCAATCGTTGCCAAATAAAGGTGAGTGTCAAGGTGAGAGAGACTGAATCAACTGACAGACAGCCACGGCTGCCAGTGAATATTACGTATTCTATGTTTCCTGTCTCTATGCACTTAACTAGAAATAAATATTTAATTTATTCGCATTTTCCTGTGAGGCGAGTGCTGTGAGCGTGTTTTTTTTTTTTGTTTTTTTTCTACTCTCGACTTTAGTATTAAAAGAGATTTGATGCGCGTCAATAAAGTAAAGTTGCATACTTAAGATTCAGCTAAATAATATTTTAGAAATATGTAAATGTAAAATACGATCAAGTTAATCAACATATATATATGATGTTACTCTGAATGAAGCAGATTATTTTGAATATACCAGAACAGAGCATAAGACAACCTCCCTAAACAAGTTAAAAATATTTGAATGCCAGATTATGGGCGCCTTTTCCTTGCGTGTCTCTTGAGTTTGGCATATTTGCATAAGCGAAAATATAATCAAAAATAATTTTAATTTAAAATAATCTTCGAAACTCGACAAGCCCCTGGCTAGTTGACAATGCAATGAAAATTGGCGAATTGTTGATTGAATTGAGCAGAGCTCACTTCTGGCTGTCTATATCAATAGCAGAGAGAGTGGATGGGCTGGGGGTTTATTATGTTTTTGAATGTGTAATGAAGTCCAGCTTTTCAGTATGCGCTTCGGCTGTGCGCTCTATTCTTATGAGTTTCATCTGTTTTAGGTTGATTTCTGCGCCAATAAGCCCTGTCCCGAAGGACATCGTTGTATTGATCATGGAAATGACTTCAGCTGCGAATGCCCAGGAGGTCGCAATGGACCGGATTGTAATCAAATGCCACGAACGGTGAGTCATGATTTATGCACTCGGCAGCCTGCGCTTTCTCTCTATCTCCATCTCACTCTCTGTCTCCCTCACTTGGTCTTTGTGGAAATGGCTTCCTGCAAAGGCCAAGCGTTTTCCTGTGCGGCAAATAGGTGTCGAGAGTTTGGGAACTGTACGTGTGTGTGTGTTTGAGTGTTTTAGTGTGTGTGCGTGTCAGTCGGAGATGCATAACAAAAAGCCCAAAATACCCACAATTTGCTGACAACAGATTGCCAAGCCACAGACTCGAATATATGCATATATGTACATACATATGCATATACACATGTATATATGTATAAATATATAGTATATGGACGCAGTTGAGCTGCGCACAATGCACAAATGCTCTGCTCGAATGCAACTTTGTAATTGTTGCTTTTGTTCAATTGCGAACATGTTAGATGTTTTGAGCTGTGCTTTGTGTATTTTATACTGATTTACGTCTTTGGATTGTTTTCTCTTGTCTGAGTAGAGCACAATGTAATAATATTGATAGTGCTCTGTAGGCCATTGTAATCCAATTAGCAAATAATTCAAATTATTCTGACATAATATCCATGAAAATCTTACAGATTTTTACAAATGACTTGCCAAGCTAATTGGCGTGAACTTCAAACTTGTTACATATTTGTGTTTGAGCACTTGGAGCGAGGTTAATTATCTTTGAATTTCACAGGAAATATGTTGGATTTCTGTAAATTAGACTTGCGCCTTAACATGTTGGAAGTGAAGCTAAAAGAACTTAATTGGCACAAGGCAAATGCTAAGCTTAAAATGGAATAAAATGCATACATACTTTTGTTGGAGTGTATTAGGTTTTGACTAACGTTTCCTGCAATTGAAACTGTTACGAATTTCTTTTTAATTATTTTTAACATTTTTCCGAATGAAATCTATTTCAAGACCGTGTTAATGCATGTAAAAATTCTTCTTAGAAGCGAGATAATGTTCCATGATAGACTTATAGAGGTGACTTTAGCTTACTTTCTGCAGACTCAACCACTCTTCCGTCTTAAGCTAGAACCCTTTGCAAACAATTTGATCATTTCGAACATGGCTGGAAGACAAGAGAGGACTTGAGTAAGCCACAATTAGCTGTGCGTGCCATTTCATTAACGCCAGCTGGAAGCGCACTTCAGAATATTTAATAAACACTCAATGACTTGATAATTTTCGGTGGCAAAATTGAACTTAATAAAGTGTCCATAAATTAGGCGTCAGTACGGACCATAATTAAAGCTTTGCAGCGACGATGATGGACATGCTCTTTAACCGTGCCTGGGTGTGCGAAAACCAACTCCTGTGAGAGCTCCCTTCATTTCTTTTTTTTTTTTTTTGTTATTTATTTGGAGAGCAGACTCCACGTCAGCATCAGCAGCGGCATCAGCAGCAGCATCAGTAGCAGCGACAGCAACAACGAAAGGAGCCTTGGTTAGTTAAGAGTGGGAGAGAGAGAGAGTCAGAGTGAGAGGGCGAGACCTGTTTGCCAGCGGATATAGGGGGCAAGTGCTGCTGGCCGTGCAGAAGCTGGATGAAGGACGCTTGGATGCCAGTCGCTGGCGAGTTAATTACTTTTTACTATGGCGCACAATTATGGGCGCGTGTAATATATTTAATATGCCAACAGCACACAGAACCTGCCCAATTAATTGTTAGTTACTATAGACCAAATATGTACATTTATGCGTGAGTTGGCGCGAATACAGAGACAGAGAGAGAGAGAGCGAAAGAAAGAGAGAATCATAATCAGAAGCCAACAACGAGCACAAACTTTCATTTAGTATTTTCAGCAATGTAGCGTGAATCCGTGCACCCATGGCGGCACCTGCTGGTCGAGCGGCGATAGCTTCTACTGTGCCTGTCGTCCCGGCTACACGGGCACTATGTGCGAGGGTAAGTGTTTGTCCACTCATATTATTAAGCTCAGCTTGCGGGCTATCTAAGGCAGGCAGGCAGGCAGACAGCCAGAGAACTAACCATTTATAATCATTTCTGTGGTCTGCAGATGAGTTTGTGGTGGAGACCGTCGTCAGTTCAAGCGAATTTATTGTCGACGACGCGAATGCCAGAAATTTTAATGACAAAACTTTTAGTTCATCGGTTGTGCTTAAAAGTCCCATTGAATTGCATAATGCATATTTTGCGGCTGGTGTTCTGGCGGCCGCAATTTTCATCGTTGCCATTGTGGTAAGTAAAACGCAAACACACACACACACTTATACTACCACACACACACACAGAAGAACGAACATGAACATGAACAAGGCCTGGTCATTGAGGAAATTGTGCTTTGCGGTCTTGAGAGGTGGAATTGCATATTCATTTCCCTGTTTTAAGTTTCGAGGGATTTTTTTGGTTTCTTTTTATTGTAACACAAAAGCCAAAAATCAACTGTCGCTTGTTTTTGGGTTTTTTTTTTTTTACACTGCGGCTCAATCGAGTGGTCAAGCATATTCAAATTTATGCATGCAGTATGCTGGGCTGGTTCTCTGAAAGACGTCATCAAGTCATTTAAAATCTCTTGGTTTGTGCTTAAGCACATTTAACAGCTAACACTTGGAGTTACTCAACTGCTTTAGTTTATAAGTTGCATTCTTGAACTAGCTGATGCCGAGGTAGTTCCCAAATTCCAGGGGTTTCCAATTAGTTTAGCGCACTTTTCCTGGAAAACTCTCTGCTCTCAGTTATAAACTAAAGATGATTAATGAAGGGAGAAATATAATAAAGTGTCATACTTGAAAATACTTCGTCCTTACTCAGCCCTCAGGTTAATTTAAATACTTGAGGGAGTTTCTATAGTTGCAAGAGTATGCCGCTAGCAAATACCCTGTAGCCTGTGTTTGCTTTGGGATCGATACAAATACTAAATGAGTTTGTGCCTGTGGCAAAAGGAAAATACCCTAATCGCAATTAAGAACTCGGGATAAATAAAAAGGTTAATTAAGAGTACAAAATGATTGATTCTGCATGTGCAAGAGTAACCTTTTCGCAAATACCCTATATTTGGCCAAGAGCTTAAGATGAAGTTTGAAGAAATTCACATTAATCAAGAGGATTTCATTAATATCAAGGGAAATACAAACAATCAAGAGTGCCAGGCTGGAAAATACCCTGTATGTAGCGAGCTTATAACTAAGGGAATTAATTTAATAAAGTGCCATACTAGAGAATACCCGGTACATAGTCAAGCTCCTGTGGGAAATTCACTACTTATACCTATGAGAACTACCAACTAAGAATTAACCTGCACAGAACTCACATAGAACATGGCTGGGTATCATTAGCATGTCTCCAGCACCCAGGGGCCACAGCTGTGCTGGGACTGATTTATATTTGTACATATATTTGCATTTTCATTGTTTTGGCTGTTTTCTCTTCTCGCTTTCGTCGTCTGTCAACTAGGTCACAATATGTCACTGCAACGTGAATCAAACGTACCGTAAGTTCTCGACGCGTTCCACTTCGTTTATACCCATATTGGGGTTCACTCGCCGGCCCAAGATGCAGGGCACACTCAATAAACATTGGCTAAGTGGCAAGGCGCTCAATGATCCCGCTGCAGTGGCACATCGTGACGCCAGCTTTGCGGCATCCAGCAGCTGCGGTGGCAGCAGCAGCAGCAGCAGCGGCAATTCGGCGCAGCAGTCGACGCGCCATTTGTCCTCGAAGCCAAATGGCAGCAGCCACCACACACAGACAACCCTCGGCGGCCAGCTGCACGAGAGGCCTTTCCAAAGGCATCTGGCCATGAATATGGAGAACGACATGTACTACACGGTGGACTTCAGTGAGGGCTCCTCACAGCAATTGCCGCTAATACAGTGAGAATTGCCTACAGCAAGAGCCACTGGAACTGGAACTGCAGCTGGAACTGGAACTGGTACGGCTGAGGCCGACGTTGACGACGTGCGCTGGTTAGTTAAATTTACGAAGAAGCTTCCAACACATTAGTAGAAATCGAAGCTCACTTCTTTGTGCTGCTCTAGCAATAAACGTTGCCAGTACTGACAATATGAACAGTATTGATATTATTAAATGGAAGCATTAAAGTTGCGAATAAATAAAACTTTTACATAGGCTAATATATACATATGATGATTACATGATACTATCTGCTAAAACTGCTTGGGTAGTTGTTTTCTAACTGACTCAAATAACTCAAGAAATACTCTGCATAGTCTACTGAAAAAGGGCAGTTTGAATTGACTTCAGAGCTACTAAAATTAAATATTAAATACAAGTATAATTTAACTTGATTAATTTTTCTGTACAGCTGCCATTGAAGCATTTTCATGAATTAATTTTCAAAATATGCCAATTATAGCTGCTTATGTTTTTAGCACAGTTTCAATGGGCTGCAACATAGAGGCGGATAAATATTCAATTAAAATAAATCGCATTGATCAAATTTCATTATTTGTGTGCAAAATGAATCGAAAACAAACTATTATGCAATTACACAGGCCAACATAATTTGGTATACGTTTCTAAGAAATAATCAAATTGAAATCAAATATGAAATGGGACTAGTTCTATATTTTAGATTTCTTACAACTTCGATTACATATTAAAGCTCTGTCATATATTGGAAAATTTTTGTTAGAGACCAAACTATGAATATATCAGAACAGCTCTTAAAAAAAATATGTATAAAAATATATTCTTATTTTAAAAAATATTTTTTCCACATTTTTTTTTTTCACAAATGTTATCAAAAGTGCCAAAAATCCATTTTTCGCGCACATTTCAGTTTTAGTAAGATATTCAAAAATATTTTATACCAAAAGGACTACGGTAAAAAAGAATATACAAAACATGTTGTACTGCTACAGAGCCCCGAACGTGCTCAAAATTATTTTTGTTTTTGCTGCTATTGAGTGAAATATACCTATGCATATATGTATATGCATACTAATCTAATAAAAATCCATACCTGTTCGTTTCATATTCATGAGATGCAAAATCTATGTAAAAGTTTTTTGGTTTGGTTACCAAATCCTGTTGGCCTGTGTTAGGCTTTGTCACTCGGCAGAGATTATTGTAGCTAATTGTTGAGTCGCATGGCAAGCGAAATGTACATTAAATGGAAGCTAATGGCTAGCAGCATAAACATAAGCTCTAATTAAATATTAATTAACATAAATTAAAAACCATGCCAAAAAATGTTTGTTATTTTTGTTTGGTTTGCGGCTAATGCATGTGTTTTGTCAATTTTTGTTAGCATAATAGCTCTGATTATACCAAAGTATATACATATGTGTGTGTGTATGTGTATGTGTTGCTCTTAGTTACGTAGAGCATATTGCTGTAGAATTGGGCAATTTGTTCAAAAGTGCAGAAGAAATGGCTTCAAAAATCAAATGAAATAAAATAAAAATTAAATTCAATTTCAATGAGAAATTGTATGTTGAGTGTTTTATGAAATGAAGTTCGCAAATATATATATATGTATTTGTATATGTATAGTCCTAATTGTACTCTTGATTTTCAAATTTGTATTCAGCTTCAGCTAGATTAAAAATCATTGAAGACACTTTGAAATATCTTTTAAAAACAGGCTCAATTATTGCATAATAAAATTAATGAAATTATATTCAATTCTGCAACTGTGACTCAAGCTGACTTAAGCACCGCTCAGCACAGTTCAAACGAAATTAATTTTAATGCAAACTAAATTAAAGTTAAAAAAAAAATGATATAATTATTAAAGGAAACAATACAAATTCTACAAAACACAAAATCAAAAAGTAATTGAAAATTTCTATATAATAAGCAAATACATTAAACATATGTGTAAATTTAATTAAGGCAATACAGTTTTTTCGTTAATAATTACAATTATAACTTAAGCGAAAAGGCAAATAAATGATTTTCAAAGCAAAAATTTCGCTGGTAAATTTCTTTATAATTATAATTCTATTGCCGGTGTTTGGGTTTTTTTTAACAACATTTTCCTTTTTGTTTATTTTGCATAATTTATATAACATATTCGTAACAAATGTACAAACTAACAAATAAATTGTTTAACATTTTGTTGGTCCACAGAAGCATTGTCGCTTCCTTTATTCAATTAGCGCCTATTTTATTATTTTGTTTTGCATAATTTCAATTAGTTTCGATTTTCCATGTAATATCACTCATACGCCCCGTAAAACGCATCAGCAGCTGAATGCTCGCTCTACTTCAATTTGCATCCTCTTGCACGCTGACTGATGGAGCCTTGGGAGCCAACTCCTCCGTACAGCC